CGGGATTTTTTCATTCAGCTGCAGAAGTGGTTCTCAGACTGACAGGATACAGCTGAAGATCTGCTGGTTTCCATGGAAGTCCCATGGTTTGGAATAGCTGGGACAGCAGAGGATTCTACAAACAGCTCATTAAGTGCTTGTGTGGGGGAGTGGGTATGGGCAGCAAGAAACTTAATTGCCTCTCTTACATGGGCATTATTACTGTCCTCAGGAGAAATTCATTAGTACTTGTCTTCAAACTGAACTCCCACAGACCCACTAAACACAAATGTCTTGGTGCCTCTGAGCACTGTTCTTTCAAAACTACACATTAGACTATCTCCAGGCTTCTGGAGTTCCCAACAAGGGTTTTCCTGTAGCTCTGGGATGGCTGCCCCATAGCAGCAAGGGTTGTGGATCTGCCCTACAGGCAGGAATACTTGTATTCATTGGGAAAAATATAGATGCAAGAGTAAATCAATTAGAGTAATAACAAAATCATGTGGATTAGAGACGAGTAAATCCCCCCAGTCTATGATTTATAATTCCCCCAGATCCCCTCTTAATACTTAAGAAAAATGTATTGAGCAGAAAGGTGAAGTGCATGCAAGCAGGGAAACACTTGGATCATATCTGACCTGAATTCATAGTAAAATTTGAGTCTAACAATCTTTATCAAACACTGGGTTTGCCAGCAGACCTGCCTGTCCACGTGTTGGAGGCTGGCACCAGGAGCAGTCACTCAGAGTAGATGTGCCTTGACATGATCTGGAAATTCCAGGCACACTAAGGAACTGTGATGAGATGCAGCCTGGCGAGCAGACTTCCCTTAAAGAGACTTTGTCTTGGGGCATGGCTGTGAAAATGGGAGAGAGGTTTTAAGTCCTGGCTCTTCACCATGCCATATGGAGGGTTTTTTTCTCTCTTCCCCAAACCATAGAGTGGTTTGTGTTGGAAAGGACCTTAAAGATATCTACTTCCAACTGCCCACTCTGCTGGGGGTGCAGCCCAGGGCACGGTTGGTTTCTGGGCTGCACTTGCACCTTGCTGGCTCATCTTGAGCTTCTCATCCACCAGCACCCCCAGTACCTTCTCCTCAGGGCTGCTCTCTATCTACATTCCACCCAGCCTGTTTGTGCTCGGGGTTGCCCTGACCCAGGTGTCAGGACCTTGCACTTGAACTTGATGAGGTTGGTTGGCACAGGCCCCCCATGAAGGAATCCTTAATAGCAGGAGATGTGGCTGCACTGGGTGACCCACCCTGGGACTCACTGACTGGGTGGTGAAGGAGGTGGCTTCCTCCAGGGACAGTCTTGGGCTGTGTTACACTGCTCATATCTCTGTCTCCTGCACCGTGGGCTGGATTCGTCACCACTCTGCTGTTCAGGGACTTGAATTCTGTTTGGGGATGTTTCATGTCTGTAATTGGAGCTCACAAATAAGGAATGACAGTGTTTATAAAGATTGTGCTGCAGGCAGCTTAAAAATCATTTAGGAAAGCAATTTCCTACAGACAGGCGTCGGCTCTGCCAGTGTCAAGGGAATGGCAGACGAGGGGAAGGGGAGCAAGGAGAGGAGCTGCTTGGTTACCACGGGTGGAGGGATGATAGCTGGGGGAAAGTGTTTTGGATTAAACACTTGCTGTCTGCTGTGCTGGAAGGTGGGAGGGGTCTGCTTTGGTGTCTGCAAAGCAGGTAGCGTGGATGGGCTTTCTGCTGGGTTGGGGACAAGGAAGAAGGCTTGGCTTCTCTACAGAGCAGTTTTGAAGAAGTCTCAGTGCTCTTCAGTTGAGAACCAAACCAAACTTCAGGCGTTTTGTTATGTAAGTTATGGTGGAGAAAGCAAGTTCTAAGTGTTGATGGTGATGCTGCCCATGGAGTCTTGGCTGTTGAGATGGCCTGACTAGTAATTTATAGAGGACAGCAAGGGACTGATGGCATTGGATCCACCTCAGTGCAAACCCAGAAGAACACACGTTGTACAACTGAGGTTTCAGAATAGTTTTTTACCTTATTTTTAAGTGCGTGCCAGACAAATCATTCTATGGGAGAATCAACTTCAGGCAGGAGACTGGCAGGAGAATACAAAAAGTGTTTTTCCCAAACTCTTTGAACACCTTGTGTAAGGAACAAATAATTGTCTGAAATCTTAGCTGCTGCAAATAACTGTTCCAGCCCCTGCTGTGTGTTGCAGAGTTGTCGGGTGATAGTTCAGGGAACGTGGGGCAAAATCTTGTCTACAGGGGAAAATTGTGTAGTTAGCACCTCTTCTAATACAAAGAGGTTGGGCAATGCTAAATTATTAAAAGGAAGGTCAAACTCCAGTGAGCTTTTGAAGCAAAAACATTTTAGATATATAATCAGATGAATCCAATTCTTCATTGCACCTTCTGGTTGAAAACTGCAGAGCCAGCTTCAGAGTCTCTCTCAGTAATAAGCAGTCCTCCATCAGGGAAAATCTCTAATTAGTACTTGCTCTGTCATTGCTGCTGACTTGTTTCCCCTATCGCTTACATAAATGAGCAGGATAAACAGGCACAGGAAATGGCTGGTGATCCTTGTGCCTCCTCTGAGGCTGATGCTGAGTGCCTGCTGCTGTGAAAAACACTCAGTTCACCTTTTTAAAGAAGATTTCACTCCTTCTCCTGTTGCTTTCCTGACTCCTGGTTACTTTTAAGCATAAAGGATAAGTTTTTCTCGTAACTCTGGATGAGGAGGTTTGGAATTACTTCAGAAAACTCCTTTTTCCTTTGAACACCATGTGATTGTGCTGGCCTTTCTGCACCAAAAGGGTTCGACTGTCAGCAATTACCACGATCCTCATCTTCATGCCAGCTTTAAATCCAGCACAGTATTGAATAGGCAAATAAAACCAGCTCGTTCAGGGAGATGAAACGGAGCCATCCGACTGAATTTCTGATTCCATTTGAGGGAAGATTTCAGACAGGTAAACATCAAGAGGGGGGGTGGTGAATGTGGTTATGCTCAACCCCTTAACGTGAGGCTTTGCAGGAGGCTGAGCCAGAGCAGCCCCAGCCCTGCTGCCAGGCCCTGTACCTGCAATGCAGCGCAGCGCAGTGCAGCTGGGCGGTGGAGGCAAAGCCCTCTCCTCCCTCACCCTCACACAACGCTCAGTTCCCTCCCAGAACCAGCCCCTCTGCCTGCCATCCATGTCCCCCCTCTGCCCAGACTCCGTGGCTGCTGGTTTTTAATGGCTCTTTCGAAAACTGTTGGGCTGTCCTCGGTAATCTCTTTCTCGATGGGAGGCCGTGCTTCGTGCAGGTAGGTTGCCCTCTGTTAATTTTATTTTAAATCTCAGGAATTTGCAGTTCTTCAGGCATTCTGGAGAGAATAAGGACTTTTGGGAGGGTCTTTCGATGTGGATTTGCACCAGTTCTGTAAAAGAGGTAGTGTTTTGCCTTGGCATTGCTGTGCCACGTTGTTTTCCTGAAGTGAAATAGTTGTAGAGAGACCCTGCAAATCCAGTTCATTCTGATGGTTAATTGGCACTTTGAGAGCACGAAAGTAAAAGGTGATCAAGGTCTTCTTAAGTAGAACAGAGGCGGGTATAAAAAGAAGTACCTTAAAACTTAATTTTTATAATGTGTAAACTATTAACTGTGTTTCATAGGCTCTGGAGATGTTATCTGTATTTTGCAGTATTTCTGGCAGCTGTCTCAGCTGTCGTCTTTAAATACCGAGTATGGATTTTTCTGCTGTCTTTTTTGTGCCTTTTAGAGCACTGTCTGTGAGAGCAAAGCCAGACAGATGAGGGTTGTGGGTTTGTGTATCAGTTTTATTTTGGTATTAATATCTATTTGGCACTTATTAAGCCTCTCTTAACCTGTATCTGCAGTTGGCACGGTCGCTTCGGGGGAAGAAGGTGGTGGGATGTAGTAACATCTGATGAATTTTTGCAGGAGGGTGAAGGGATGAGGGGTGTTTTGGGGGTGATTTCACAGAGGAGATAGCCCGAATAGGCTCACTGTCACATTAGCTGGTGTAATAGAGTCTGAAGTAGAAGTGAAATGCTTTTGGATCCCCAGGACAGGCTGAGATGCAGAGTACAGGGGGTGTGGTGTACGAGGCTGCTGGCAGCAGGATTCATCAGCCCCTTCCTCAGAGGGGGGCAGAAAGCTTCCAAGAGAATGGGGTTTATTTAATGCTTCCAGTAACTTCTTCCTTGATGCATGAAATTACTGTTCTTGAAAGGCACTGGGACTGCAGAGTGGCGTGGGGTGTCTGTCTGCATCAGTGCTTCTTAAGATGAATTTTCTTTTGAATCCAGTCTAATCCCTTGCATCTTGTGCAGTGACAAAAGTGAAAACCTTGAAGCAGCTTTGGAGGGAATTACTCTTTATTGCTTATGCTATGGGTGTGGCTACTGGCCTTAAATTCTCCTTTCTGTCTAATTCTGCATTCTGGGGCTCTTGACCTTGTCCAGAGGATTCTTTATATATGAGCTTCCAGTCTCCCCTTCAACCATTCTGTCCGTGGACCTTTCTTGCCTTTGCTGCCTGCTCTTCATTTGGGGATAGTCTGAGATATATATTCATATTTATCTTCATTCATAGCTCAGCTGTCCCCAGAGGAATGCACCCCTTTTAAAGTAGCTTTTTTACCTCAGAAACATCCTCCCCCCGGCCCTTCCCCTGGTTTCCTTCTTCCTACCTCCAACTTGTAATTCTGTGGCTCTCAGGGCAAAAAAGTGTAAATACTGAATATCTTGGCTGGATCAAGCTGCAGGTTTGTTAATAAGTGTCTCGTTAGCAGTGGAATGGACTGTCTCAGTCTTGTTTTATGGTTCAGGACAAATAACCTGCATTGCTTATCTGTCCCTGAATTAAAAAATGAGCAGGACTTCCTAGCTCTGATCACAGGCTGAAGTAAGTGCTGGGTGGTTTGGTTGTGCTCGGGGTGACCCTTTTGGCTTCTCTTTGCTTTAATGAACTTCAGTTCCGGAGTGTAAATGGCTGCAAGTTCAGTCATGATCAGATCAGAACATGTAATTTCTTCCTTTTTATGCTCTGTAGGTATTTAACAGGGCTGTAGTTGGGGAGTAGTCTGTTTAAGGTAGGAAGTTTCAGCAGAGGGCATGTGTAGTGAGTAAACACTGAATATTCTGCTCTGTAAGGACTCAAAACTGAACTATGAAATTTATCCCATGGATTGAGGTTAGTACAGCCACGATAGGATGCCCAGGACTCCAGCACAGTCACCAGCAATAAAAACTGCATCTCAAAGGTTTATATATATATATTTTATACATCAGCTTATCCACTGGTGTAGCTGGTGTCTGTCTCAGCAGTTACTCCTTTGAGCAGCACAGGCTGGATTTGGGATAAGGGGCTGGAAGGCATTGGTGATACCTGCTGCTTCACTGGAAGGATGCTTCCAATGCAGGAAACTTCCCCCAGTTCCCCCTAGCAGGGAAGCTCATTGTAAAGAAGGTTATTTTGTGCTTGGATGTCACTGCTGTAAAGAAATTTGTTGCCCCCTTTGTTGGACAAGTCCTTTTTTAATATCTCACACTTCTAAGAAAAAGAAGCTTACTGTTAATATCCTGCAGTACCTTGCTGTTAAATCTTGCCAATGCAGATGGGCTGTGAGCACTGTTTTCATTATAAATTCTTTGTACAAAAGGTTGTTGAAGGTTAAACTTTGTAGACAATTAACCCTTCCCTTTCCCTGTTTCAGTATTACCATTTCCCAGGCTGTTTGGGTGTCGGCAGCGTGCTGCTGTGCAGGAGGAGTCAGGGCACAGTGGATGTGGTGGAAGGTTTTAGTTCAGGGAGCTCAAACGCCCCTTAAACACACGACAGCACCGAGGTGACCTCTGCCAAGGTCATCTTCACAAGCAGGAGCTTAGAGTAGCACATTTGGTGAAAAGTTAAACACACACAATGTTTTCATTTATGAATGTAGGAGTGGAAAAAGCACCAAAAATCCCAGCTCAGTGCCTGATTTCAGCCCCTCTGCAGTCACAAACTCCAAAGGAGCTAAAATACTGGTTTAATTTTTTTTTTCCTAAGGAGTGAGAATTGCTTGATGTTAGTCTCTAGTGTTTTGTGTGAGACAACATCCTAAAATAGAAATTTGCTTTAGAAAAGTCTTCACCAAAGGAAAGGCTGAGAAGGGGCTCAAAGAGCCTGACATTTGGGTGGGATCAGAAAGCTTTTAACTCACTATCTGGGCTTTGTTCCACTCTAAAAATGAATCTAGGGCACTACAAGGTATTTCTCACTAATATATGAAAAATTTTGTCTTCTATACTAGCTTAGGAGTAAAAGCATTTGAGTGTGGAATGTGTTTTTTGAAGGCTGAGTATTGCATCTCCTCCCTGCTGGGGCATCCCCCCTGGGCAGTGAGGGCTGCTGAGGGGAGGTGTGTGAGACATGCAGTGTGTTCTCTTCCAGACCCGACACGCAGCACCGGGGCCCTGCAGCTCAGTCAGAGAGTGATCTTCCAGAGCAAGAGGAAGAAATCCTGGGCTCGGATGATGATGAACAGGAGGATCCAAATGATTACTGTAAAGGTGAGGACCTCCCTCTTTAAGGTGCAGGATTCTCAGTGTCATCAAGAAACCCTCAATTTCCCATCTCCTGTCAAGAAAGACAATATACTCCCTTTAAGTATTTTTTTAAACTACATCATAATAACACTTTTCAAGCTAACCTGACATGGAAAAACTGTTCTCCAAGGTTCTCTCTGTCACCAGTGAAGATTTGAGTTGGAGAGCTGGTTTTGATGCCTGTATGTGAAGCCATTGGCTTTTTCTGTGCCACAGGGCTTTCAGAACTGATAAAAGCACACAGGCATTCCATTTCTTTCTGATTTTCACCAGAAAAAGGACACTTAAAAATCCTTCAAATCTATTTCAGATTCTTCTCTGTTCTCTTTTGAAGATCATCTTGCTATCCATTCCTCAGATAACTTTGTGTCTGCAGATGTAATGTGTTTCTCTGAAACTAAAACAAAACTAAACACAGAGCAAATGGAAATACCACAGTGTATAATTCAATATCAAAAAGGATCAGGTTGGTTTTTAGCACAGCAAATAGTTTAAAAAAGACAGAATGCTGATCATACAAATTCAACTGATCAATTAGTTGAAACTTGTGTGTGCCCTCACCTCCATGTGTCTTGTAAGACTACTTCTGTGATACTGTTTATTGTATACATTGAATAAGACAGAGAAGCATGTAGCAAATGCCAGGTATGTGTGTTAAAAAGCAAAGTAGGAATAGCACAGGGAAATTGAATTGCAGTTTCACTTCAGTGCTTTACTTCAAAGCATTTCTATTGCTTCTAGCTTGCTACCCAAGTACTTGTGGGGTTTTGTTGTAAAGCAAATGGGAAGAAGAAATCCATTGTGTGAAATGGTGATTTGTAACTGGAATCTTTAAGGGAAGAAAAGGGACTTCTGGAACTGATGAAGTAATAGAGAGCAATTCCATGTCTTGTTTGTGAACTAGTCAGTGAAGGGAGCTGAATCTTCCTGGCCAAATGTGTTTCAGGGGTGGTATTTGCTGAGCACAGTTGGACAGTAAGCACTTGCAGTTGAGGGTGTGATCCCAGGTTCTGGCAAAAACCTATGCCTTAACAATCACAGGTTCTCTTTACTCTGTTTTCTGCCAATTCCCTCATGTCTTTGTTTGGATTTTCATGTCTTTGCATCTGTGATGGAATCCTCATGCACAGTGAGCAGCTTGAAGGGTACAGGGAGGAGACTTCCCTGTTTCCAGTGGTGATGTTAATGGCAAAGCAGCTTTCAGCCTGGAAGGCAATTGCAGAGGAAGCTCCATTGGGATCTTGGGTGCAGTTCCCTTTCATGTCACAGGGACAGACTGTGCAAACTGATGCTGGTACTTACTTAGCTGTAAGATTCTGTTACTGAACATCACGAGCTGTGTTTTCAGAAGGTGGCCAGCCAAGCAGATTTCAGGTGTTTTCACTAAAGAAGTATTCTTTGTGATCACCTACACTGAAAAGGTGGAAAAGTCCCTTGTCTAGTTAATTACATTAAAAATTCTCAATCAACTGGAGGGCTGTTCACAGCTCTTCCTCTAACACACTGTATACTTGTTCTAGCAAGATTCAATTAGAGAAACATTTGCATTTGTCTGTATGATTAAACATTTAAACACATCAAATAATCCTGCCTCAGGTTGTGATGCTTGTTCCACATACCTGCTCTTCAGCACTTGTGTGATCTCTTGGTATATAAACTTCCCACTGTTTTTTTTTTAGGTGGTTATCATCTTGTAAAAATAGGAGATCTCTTTAATGGACGCTACCATGTGATTCGGAAGCTGGGATGGGGCCACTTCTCCACTGTGTGGCTGGCTTGGGACATCCAGTAAGTCTCTCTGTTCCAGCTGGTGTTTCTGGGACAGCATTGCACCAACGTGATCAGAAAGCATCTTTTAACTTTTGGATAAAAACACACAAAGCACAACGGTCCACATTGTAACACAGAAGTTTGTTTTGATACTGGGCACACAAGTGTGTGTGGGGGGAGTTAACAGGACAAACCATGTGTGTGGAAACATTGTTTGTGAGTGCAGGAGACTCTGACCTTCTTATTTCATTTTATGAGGAACAACTACCATGAATGTTTTATAAAAAGAGACCCAAAGACAATCTTCATGAGTGCTTAAACCATATTTTACCATGATGCCTTTGATTCTTTTGCATATGAGAGATATTTAAAATAATCCTGGAGAATAAGTTCTTTGTATGAGCATTAACAATCTCCAATGTACTTGCCATGTGTGTGCAGAGGGAGAAGATTTGTGGCCATGAAGGTGGTGAAGAGTGCAGAGCACTACACAGAAACAGCACTGGATGAAATCAAGTTGCTGAAATCGGTGAGTGCCTGAGAGTGGGGTTCAGTTTTATTTATTTCAAAAATCATTTTGATGAGTTCCTATTAATCATGTGCTTGGTTATTTCTGGATCACCTAGCTGCAAAGAATTTGGGTAGGATCCTAGCAGTAGTGCAGTAGATCTGACTTCAAAATATTCTTGCCTGGTAACTACCTCAAGAAACACAAAGTTCATCATCTGTTTCTCTGCAGGTCCGCAACAGCGATCCAAATGATCCAAGTAAAGAGAGGGTCGTGCAGTTATTGGATGACTTCAAGATTTCAGGAGTTAATGGTTCCCGTATCCTTTCATGGAATAAAGACAGAATTGCAAAGATGGGAGTTGGCTGGGTGGCTGTCCTGTCAGGGTGGTGAGCAATGCCCAGGTGGCCCTTTCATTGCCCGAGGAAACCTGCAGTAGAATCACCCGCCTCACAGCTGGCTGCTGAGCTCTGATCCAGAATGATCATCCAGCCTGACATAATGTGAGCTGTGGAGATGCTGCTGCTGAGTCATGCTCCTACCATGAGAGCTGAGGTGGCTGTTTGATTTGGGAGGCAGGACTGAGTGGCTTAGTGTCCAGGGAACCTTTGGAGTAAGAGCCTGTCTGTCTCAGCCCCTCCATTTTGCAAGCAACCTGGTAATAACCCCTTATGTATGTGAAGCAGTATAAAATATTAAGATCAGCAGTTGAAAACAGCAAACATGTGGAGTCTATAGCTGGACATTAAGGTTGTCTTCTAGTTACAGAAGCATCTTGGACATTATCAACATTGTTAGGATGTTGAAAGTGTCTTGCTTTGAAAATCCCCTCAAGTTCTGTGAGCAGCCTTCTAATGGGCAGTGATTTTTGGCACCCTGAATTTGAAAGTTGGATTTCTGTGCATGTTTCTGCTTTGAGGTAGCTTGAATTTTATTTCAGTGATAATTATGAGCTACTTGAGACTGGAGCTGTAGGTTATAAACATTCTAACACCTCTAGTAAAACTGTTGCTATATAATGTATTTCCACTATTAATGTTTTTCTGGTACCTGGCACCAAATGTTGACTTGATCCTGTATTTCTTTCACTAGTGTGAGAAGCAGCCTAACAAATTCCTAGAGGTTTGGCTTCTAAAGCAAAGGCACAATGGTGAATATATCACTAGAGTGACTGTAGCTGTTGAGTTATTATAGACAAAATCCAGATAATGTAAATATTGTTGAAGTCCAGGCTTGTTGAAAGTTGGTTTTGCTGGTAAAGAGGCAAGGGAGGGCAGAGAAAGTTATTTAATTGTTCTGAACATGACTTATGAAATGGAAATGTTATTATCTTTTTGGGTAATGCTGGTAAAGAGAGATCTGGCATTGAGTTTTGCCAGGAGCAAGAGCCTAGGCTGTTCCAAAATCTACAGTGTTGGCCTGAAGCTGTCTCAGTATTAGCAGGAAGTACTAACACACACTTGCTTGTGCAGCTGGCTCCCACTCAAAGCAGGAGATTGCTACTGCTGCAGTAGGACCATTGTCTTAACTCCATCTGCTTGGATTTTGGCTTTTAGATAACACTGATGTGTAGGGTAGGATGGTGCTGTTGGGGAAGGCAGCTTCTCAAAGCTGGGTCAGAAGGGTGAGGGTTCTTTCCTATAGAACACTTAATTGTTATAGAGGTCTTTTGATCCTCAGTCCTGGGAGTTCAGGGCTCCTTGGGTCAGAATGTCCATGTTTTTTCCTTGATTGAATTCCAGATATCTGTATGGTGTTTGAAGTTCTAGGGCATCATCTCCTGAAGTGGATCATCAAATCAAACTATCAGGGGCTTCCACTCCCTTGTGTCAAAAAGATCATCAAACAAGTAAGTTCCAGTTGTGGCTGCACTGTTCCCCTCAACCCAGTGGGAATCCTTTCACTAACCTTTCTCAGATCCAAGAAAGCAAAAGTTAAAAATTGATGGTACTTCTCATGCAACAAAATGATTCTTGAGTTAATATTTCCTTTCTTTACTGCAAAAACCTCCTGCTACAGCTGTTAATTTTCTGATACTTAAACCACAGTGGGAGGCTGGCTGTGCTTGTAACCTCTTCTTACCCTGCTTATTCCTCACAAGTGCAAGTTTTTTTAAAACTCTCACAGTAAATACAGTGCTTAATGATGGGAAGAGCAAGAGAAACCTGTTCTTCCTACTGGATGGTTGCCTAAGAAGAAACATCTTTCTGCATGTGAGGTGGAGGAGAGGAGGAAAGCATGATTTTATTGCAGGGTATTAAGATTAGGTTTTCAACTGTAGCAAAGTTATGAGGGGTAAAGAGACAGTATTTTCAATTCATAGCTAAAATCTGGATGCAATTCTTTATTTTCTGGAACTGAGTAGTAACCACTGATCCCATTGGCTCTAATCTGGGGTACTCTCAAACATAGAAGTCTTTCAGGTTCATCTAGGCAATTTTGCATTGTTGCTTCACTCTGTTTGCTCATTCTTTGCTTTTTCTAATGATGGATTTCCCTCTGTCCTGTCTGCAGGTTCTTCAGGGTCTGGATTACTTGCACACAAAGTGTCGAATCATTCACACAGACATTAAACCTGAGAACATTCTCCTGTGTGTCAATGACCAGTATATCCGCAGGCTGGCTGCAGAAGCAACAGAGTGGCAGAGATCTGGGGCTCCCCCACCATCTGGCTCTGCAGGTGCTTTTTGTTTTTTCTGTTTCCTGAAAACTGGTGCTATTTCCCCCCTCTCACCCCTAAATTGTGAGTAGGGAAAACTTCCTAAGTGGGTACAGTGGAACAAAAATACAAATCACCTCTGAAAAGCCAACTAAATTGTGAAGTTAGTCTCAGGTTGTCGTTCAGAGATGGTCAGGAAGGCAGTTGTTTGTGTAAGAAGAGTGGAGGATATGTGCATGCTGGCACCTGCTTTTAACAGCTCATCTGGCACTGATAAAGCAGTTCACAGAAGTCTGAAAAACTTGTCAGCATGCCAAGGGAGCTGTTTCTGCTACACCCTGAAAGATCTGAAGGCAAACTGTTCCTAGTTCTTCATGTTCCCCCTCAGAACATCCACCTGTCCAGTGTATAGGTTTCAGGAACCACTGCAGCATGCACTGGAGGCTCTGTCAGTCATCTTACAACACCAACATTTAGCCAAGCTCATCATAGCACAGCTTCTCTTAGGGAAGCTCCCTTAACTTTGCTATTTTAATGTTTTAGTTTGCATTTTCTTTTCAGTATAATGCATAATACATGCAGTAAATGAAGCTGTGTGACAGGAAGTTTAGGTCTTTGATATCAGTCAAGCAAGTCTACTCCCTGGAATTCTAATTGAGTTTACTCATTTAATGATTTTCTCTATTTGTGCTGTACTCCTGTAGAGAAATGAGCCTTCAAAATAACATTTGCTGATAAATTTAAAATGTTGTTGCCAAACCACATAAGCAAAAGATCACCTTAAGAATGTGGCTACAGTTTTTGAATATAAACAGACTAATTTACTGATTTTCCTTTTCCTTTCAGTGAGCACTGCACCACAGCCAAAACCAGTAAGTGTCATAGCTTTTGTGTGTAAGTGTCCACCTACTCATAGTACCTACTGTGCTGTTTCATGCTGCAGTTGGCATTAAGGAAAAGCCATCTTAAAGCAGAAGGAAAAGTGTGATTTGTGCTTGTTGTAGGTGTGAGGTTCAGTGCTGCCTTGGAGATGTTCTGGTGATGTATGAGCTAACACACAAGTTGTCCTTCTGGTGGTCTGCAGGTCTGTTGTGAAGGTGACTGTCATCTATGGACCTGAGATCCCTCGTGTGGAGGATCCTGTGGGTTTCTTAGGTCAGGACAGAAATGCACTGGCAAGAGTCATAGACAGCTGCTCCAAAACCCTTAATATCTGTGTTTTATTTGGAAGAAGTACTGTCTCCAGAGTTGTCATCCCAGCCTGCTTCCTCAGCTCTAAAACAAATTTAAAACTTGACACATTTTAGATTTATTGAAATATGAAATGCTAAGTCCAATTTCTCTGCTTGCTTCCATGTAGGCTGACAAAATGTCAAAGAATAAGAAAAAGAAGTTGAAAAAGAAACAGAAACGACAGGCTGAGTTATTAGAGAAGCGAATGCAAGAGATAGAGGAAATGGAGAAGGAAGCAAGCCCTGGGCAGACACAGCCTGAAGAGGAGGAAGAAACTCAGAGCCCTCTGGAAATGATCTTAAAAGTTAGTCCACCAGAGGAAAATGTCAGCAAAAAGACAGGTATGGATCTAAAGTATTGCTAGAAAGACAGGCATGGATCTAAAGTATTGCTACAAAGACAGGTATGGATCTAAAGTATTGCTAAAGTAGCACAGTGTCCTTTCACTCATGCTGGCATGAGTAGAGCAGGCATCTTCATAGAGGTGTCTGGTGTCCTTGAACCTGTTTGCATTGTGTTCTACCCATCTAAAGAGGCTCTGAAATGTCCTGTTACAAACTGAATTACGGAGCGATTGTGTCCAGTCACCTTTTGAGAACTGCTGAGGGTTCCCTTGAACATCTTCAGCTATTAAAGTAACACAAATAAAGACATTCTGCTGTTTTCTCCCCCACTCTTCCAGCTGAAGCTGTACAAGACCAATCTATTCTGATGGAAAGCAGCGTGGACAAGTGTGTGACAGAAATCAACTGCAACGGCGTGATCCCCATGTCGGACTTGCCAGACTCCAGCAATCAGGGCTCAGTGCGACTGGAGGACGACCTGCACAATGCCAATGACTGTGGGGATCACCCTCCCACGCAGGAGGAGGAGAACTTCCATCGTTGTAACTACAGCCAGCAGAATGGTGACCTGCAGAACAGGCCTCAAGAAGCAATGTCGGACTCGTTGGTGCCCTTGGCTTCGGAAGACTCCATGGTGTGTCAGCCCACGGCCAACGAGGAGAGACCCTTCAGTGAGCAGATCAACCATCTGCAGGAGAGCATCAGGACAGAGATACCTTCAGAGGATGAGAATGAGAATAACAGCCCCACAGACAACAAAGGTATCAGAGGAGAAAGGTCTCCCTCCTCCTTCATGTGGGAGAGCTGTGTGGTAACACTTTGAGTGTTAATAGAAAGGGCTTTTTTGTGGGCTGAGTTGATCAGAACCACATGTTTGAGCCTTTTCCTGCCAGGAGTAACTAACCTGGCAGTCCTTCTCTGAGACATTTTGCTGTTTGTAGCTTCCAATTGAAGTTGTACATTCATTTTGACTAAGTACAAGTATTCCCACTTCTCAAAAGTACCTATATGTTGTTTTTTCAGTATAGGAACATCTCCTTTGTATCAAGTGTTATGTGATTTTCATTAATAATTAGACATGTAATCTACTAAGTCATGGGATAAGGACTGGTGTGTGCTAATAGTTCTGTTCTTAACATGGAGCACAGGAAGCTCTTCTCTGTTACTGGAGATGAGTAAATGTTTTCCCAGAAGTGGAAGTGCAGCCTGACTGAAACAAACCTTATACAACATAGGAAAAAAGCAATTTAATCATTTTGTTTAAATGTGATCTAGTTCAGAGGGAAAAAACTAAGTCTTGTAGGTTTGGAGAACCCAAGACACACAGTATTGTACAGCAGTTTAAACAATTATTGGTGTGTGTCATTAAAAAATGGAATCAGTTGATAGAACTGTCCTTTTTTTGCATCTCTGAGTCAAGGTTAGGTGCAGTCTATCTGCTTGGAGAAGGAAGGAGAAAAAAACATCTGTATTTCTTTTCAAAAACAATTCTGTAGCATTTTCTTGGCTGAGTACTGCTGAGGAGTTCCCTGGATGACAAGTAGCAAGTGAACTGTAAAGATTTGGAAACTTGAACTGCATCTAGTGGGATGTCCCAGACACATTATTAGGTTTAGTTTGCTTCTCACAGCTCTCTCCCAAATTGCTTTAGCTCTAAAGCTGGATGGAATTCAGTGATTTAATTTTTTTTTTTCTCTCTGCTGTGTCATTGAGGTTTTCCCAGTATGTACTGGAGCTCTTGTAACTGTTGCAGCAGTGAGGGATGGGTATGTCAAAAAAATGCTATATTAGGTGGACTTCCCTTCAGAAATTTAGGAAGACTTAAGGGCTGAGAGACTTGTTTTGTCTCTGGCAACGCCCTTATTTAAAAAGTGTCTAGATGTAGACAGACTTTTTTAAGGCTGTGCATAGAGTGCTGAGAAGAAAGTTACTCTTACATGTGTTTAATTGTTCATCTGCTTTGTAACACCAAGAGGTGATCCTCTTGTGCAGACTAATGCTGATTTTTGTACTGAAATTCTGGGGAGGAAAAAGTTATGATCCATAAGCAAAACCTTTCCTGGGCTGTAGGATTTGGATGACAGATGGTGACACTGTCTGTGTAGCTTTAATCAGCTGTTGTATGTGTTGCCTCTAGGAAAATCAGCTGCTGGGAATTTGTAGACAGGCTTTTTAAGGCTGTGCTGAGAAAAAAGTAACTCTTGCATGTGTTTTAATTTTTCTTCTGCTTTGTAGCACCAAGAGGTGATCCTCTTGTGCAGACTAATGCTGATTTTTGTACTGAAATTCTGGGGAGGAAAAAGTTATGATCCATAAGCAAAACCTTTCCTGGGCTGTAGGATTTGGATGACAGATGGTGACACTGTCTGTGTAGCTTTAATCAGCTGTTGTATGTGTTGCCTCTAGGAAAATCAGCTGCTGGGAATTTCCTTCTTAATCCTCTTGAGCCCAAGAATGCAGATAAGCTCAAAGTGAAGATAGCTGACCTAGGAAATGCCTGCTGGGTGGTAAGTTTACAGTCTCTCCACACTGACTGTTTAAACCTGCTAATTCATTCACAGTATGCCAAGATGGAAAGGAATCTGTAAAATAGATTCTTAGACCTGCTTGTGGAAGTAGTGACAGTTTGAAACTATGCTGGGGGTGAGGGCAAACAAGGGAGGGGAGCAGGGATACAAAGCAGTGGTCCTGTAGCACAGGGTGTCAGCCTGTGGTCTGGATGCCTGGCTGGTCATTAGATTACTTCTAATAGGCTCTAGTGTCACATATAATGTGTAGAAATGTGCATATGTGGAACTTCTGAAGGAGCCTGTACCTCTCCTGGAGAATGAGGAAGCTGCAAACAATTGCTCTGATGTGCTGGTCCTGTCAAACCATTTCAGTGAGTTCATGAGCACATGAAAGAGACTCATGAATAGTTTTGTTCATTGATGGTTGTGCTGCTTTTAAATGTTTGACATTTCAAGTAGAAGAAATGTACTTCACTGGGGTTTTAAATGGCAAAGTACTTCAGATCTTATGGGAGAGAGTCTCAAGCTCAGAATTGCCCACCAGGGTTGCAGGGGCTGGTGGTCTCTTAGACTAGTGGTGCTTATCTGCACTGGGGCAGGTGAATTGTGGCCTGGCATCATCAGATAGGAGAGGGTGCAGCTCCTGGAACAGTCTTCCCTTGTTCTGTTTTAATTACTTGCTTTCATCTAAGTTGCTGGGCTGTTTTACTTGAGGGATGTTTCACATAGAGCATTTAAACAGTACTTGTAGGAATATCCAGAACTATTTAATGAGGATGTAAAATCCAGCTGAAATGTGATGGGAATGAACTTTGATCTGCTCTGGCCTTCCAGGTCACTGATTCTCCTCTTGAACAGTCTGTTCAGTAAAACATTTCTTCTCTTTAGCACAAGCACTTCACTGAAGACATCCAGACGAGGCAGTACAGATCCTTGGAGGTGTTGATAGGGTCAGGGTACAACACCCCTGCTGACATCTGGAGCACAGCATGTATGGTGAGTGGGCTCAGCAGGGGCTTGAAACAACTCCTGCAAAGCACTCGGGGAAACTCCTCTGTGCTGTGCACCCTGGGCTGGCAAAAAAGTCTGTTTCCTTATCGCCACATGTGGCTTTCCTTTTGAGAGAGTTTTGTTGTACAGCACCAACAGATTTCCAGTACAACTTGACTTCCACATCATGCTTTGTGGAAAAATGAGGCAGCTATGCAATGGTGAAGGCAAAATCTTTTTATATAAAGAGCCTCTCCACTTCATCCAGCCCTGTTTCACAGATGCCTTCAGTAAAAATTCATATTTTAATCATATGCATCCTCTGCATGTGTGGAATCATTTGTCATCTGAGGAATGTTGAGACGAGACTGAAGCTGTTCCTGTAAGAGCTGGCAAATGTAGAATACAGTGATTAAAAAAAATCATCAGTCTAGTTAGTTATTCTCTGTGCTTCTGTGGTGTCTCCATTCTGTGTTTTCTACAAAACAAAGCTTGGGGGTTTTTTTTGTAAGCTTGGAAAATAGTAAGTGAAGTCATTTCTGCTGTCTTGGAAAACAAGCTGTGATGTTTGATGCATGTGGTAAAACACAATGTGGTAAGATCGTGTTGTCTCTGCAGAACATGTGGCCAAAATTACTCAGTGGTTACTCTGAGTGCCTAATTCAATAGTCAGACTGCAACAGGCCATAAAGAAAGCACAGAAAACAGAAGGTCAGAGGTGCTGTTTTTAGTAAAAGTGAATATGCAAAGGGGAAATGTCACAGAATTTAGGAGTGGTGAGTTGAAACAAATGCAAACGTTTTTCTCATTTAAAACACATTTTTGTGTCTACAACCAGATCTCCAGAGATTAACTCTTTTCAGATATTGAAAAGACATTCTGCAGTTTGGAGGGAGAGGAAAATCTTTGTGAAAAACATTGTTTTGCAAAATGCTGTTGAGGCAGAAGAGAGGCTGAGGGTGTGAAATGGCTTCACTTTGTACAATTTCACACAAGCATGATCCAGGATTTTTCATAGATACACCCATGATGGTTTTTAATGCAGCCATTAAATTGTGGTAAAGAAATTTTACACCATGGGGTGGTGATGGTGCACTGGAGTTCTACAGGTTATTTTTCCCATCACTTGGCTTCTGGCCTGCAGAGTGTCTGACTGTGTGAAGTGTATTAAAATGATGTAACATGCTCATTTCTCTTTCTTTAGGCCTTTGAGTTAGCAACAGGAGACTATCTGTTTGAGCCTCATTCTGGGGAGGATTACTCAAGGGATGAAGGTGTGTTTGTCTGCATGTTTTCTTTTTAAAATGGGATGTGAAGTGCAGCAGATGCTGCCTCAGAGTGAGCTTTCTCTTATCAGGCAGCAATGCAAAGGCTCCTTGCAAAACATTTCCTGACAGGAGGCTGGAGCCAGGTGGGGGTCAGGCTTTTGTCCCAAGGAACAAGGGACAGGGCAAGAGGAAATGGCCTCAAGTTGCTCCAGGGGAGAGTGGGGTTGGATATTAGGAACAATTTCTTGCCCTGGAGGGTTGCCCAGGGCTGTGCCAGGCTGCCCAGGGCAGTGGTGGAGTCCCCACCCCTGGAGGGGTTTCCAAGCTGTGGAGATGTGGGGTGAGGGACACGGGGCAGTGGGGACCTGGCAGTGCTGGGGGAATGGTTTGACTAGATCTGAAAGGTCTTTTCTAACCAAAATTATTCTATGATTCTAAAAAGATTGTTTACCCAAATCATTGTTGTTAGGGAGACAACTGTGCTCAAGCCTCTGCAGTAAACCACCCTGCAGTGAAGTCCATGTTCTTGTCTTTGTTTTCTGTTCCTCTTGCTACCTGATTCTCCATCTTGCTTCTCAAACTGTTCATACCTCAAATGGCCTTTACCTTTTTTCACCCTTGACTTTGTTCTTGCTTTGTTACCTGATTTCAGGTGGATCTCAAAGCAGTTTTTAAGGGACATAGTGTCTGTCCTTGTATCCCAGGAAGGAAACTGGGGCCTAGAGATGTCTTGTGTGGGTGTCTCATTGTCTTCTCTTTTGGAAATGCAGATCACATTGCATTGATCATTGAACTTCTGGGGAAGATACCTCGCAAGCTCATTTTGGCAGGAAAATATTCCAAGGAGTTTTTCACCAAAAAAGGTAAAAGGAAACCAAGCAAATGTCACTTATCCGTCCATCTCCTGCCCAAAACACACAAGAGTGCCTTGCTGGAAATACCAATGAGCAGTCGATGGCAGCAAAGATGCCTCTAAGTTTTTCTTTTGTTTTATGAAAGACTTTCTCAGTAAAACTGCAGCTAAACTTGAGCCATTCTTGTCTAACTGTGCCATGGTTGGGGGCCAGGGCAGCCCCCAGAACTGTAACAGACACTGTTAACCCCCTCCCCCTGCCCCAGAAAAGGAAAGATAAGTTCTTTAGCTGATTTGTGTCAAGTAGAGGTGGTGACTCCCCTTTGAAGTCTTCTCTAGATAACTTTGTTCCATTTCTAACATGCCAGTCACATAAGTAGTGCCTTGCACCCTGAGCCTTATTGCTCAGGGCCCCTGGTACCATTATCACAAAGCCCTGAGTACCCCAGAAATGTATTGAGTCTCAAGGAGTTTTTAACCTAGTTTAATACACTCTTTTTTTTTTGTTTTAATAAATGCTTTTTTGGGTATCTCTTCCTCAAACAGTGCTGTGTATATTCCAGAGTCAACTGCAGAGTGTTTATCTGTCATGTCAACCAGAATAATTGGTGATTTAGTGATGATAAACAGTATTTTCTGATATTGGATCAGAAATAGGAGGGGAAAAACATCTTCAAGGAAGTGCATGTCTAGAACAGTCTTCAAAAGTAGATAGAAAAGGGATTTCAGTGTAATTTATTTTTCTTCAGCATGTTCTACCATTTTACACTCTGTGCTCAGGTGTTGGGCACCAGTTTCTGAACTGGGCTGTTCAGCCCTTTGCCCTGTTCAGCCCTTAGATCTAACCTGTTCAGCTGCTCTGTTCCCATATCATGCACTGAACCTTTTCTGTCTTGGTTTTCAGGTGATCTGAAGCACATCACCAAACTGAAGCCCTGGGGTCTTTTTGAAGTTTTGGTGGAGAAATACGAGTGGTCCCAAGATGAGGCAGCTGCATTCACAGACTTCTTATTACCTATGTTGGAGCTGATCCCAGAGAAACGAGCTACAGCAGCAGAGTGTCTCAGGCACCCCTGGCTTAACTCCTAGAGGCTTCCACCCAAGGCTGCAGCACTACACTCTGGTTTACAGCATAGTGCACCCAGCTGCCCCTTCCCACATCCGTTGGTTTTCTTTCCCCTTGTCTGTTTTCTCTGTGAAGTTCTTCCTTCAAGGCTTCCAAGATTTTTTTTTTAGATCTAACCTGTTCTGCTGTGTTTGCTTGTGTGACTCAATGGGGACTCCTCGGGTGGGGGAGGAGAGGGCATCATCTGCTTTGCCTCAATTGGGCTTCACCAAAGACTAATGGATTACAAGATGACTCTTTTTCCTGAGTCTTCTCACTGTTAGCACCATGTGTTACAGTTGGGAGCTCACCCAGGCTCAGCTATGCTCCCACAGCTAAATTCCAGCTCTTTCTGAGGGGGGTGTAAAGATCCCAACACCTCCTCATCTCACTGACTCAGGAGCCAGTTTCCCACTGTCAGTCCCGTGGCTAGCAATGGAGGGAGAAGGAACAGATAGCACCAAGGTGCTGTTAGCTCCTTGTAGAGCAAAGACCTCCAGATCCTCCAGCATTTTCTAGGTGTCTACTGTATCCTTGGCTTTCCAGTCGCATAACTCTTGTTTAGTTCTAGCTGCTTAAATCTTTTGAAAAGACCTATTTAAACCTAGATATTAGTACCCTTTCTTCCTTCCTCCAGAGTGCCCTGCCCTTCCCATGTCCCCGTGCCCAGATAAAATAGTTTCTGAACTCAGTGACCATTTTCTACTTCAATGCCTGTGCCTGTGATGAAAAGGTGACAAGCAAAACAAGCAGAAGCTGGGGCTGACTGGGTGCACCATCTCCAGCATACAGCTGGGTGTACCCTCAGGCTGTGGGGAGGCAGCCTTGGTGCAGGCAACTCTTTCAGCATTTTAGTGGGCTGTAAGTTTGTGTTTTATCCCTTTACTGGCACTTTTTTGCCTCGCTTCAGGCGGCCGCGGTATCTGTGAGAGATTGGCTTTCACTGATGCAGCCTACTCTGCTCTTAATTTACAACTGTTCACCTTTTTCCCAAGAAAAGGGTGGCAGCAGCTGTATCACAGCCATGCTATATAGTCCTTGATTTTCCAAATCGACACTTGAAGGCCCAGTGTAAAAATTTATTCTCTTTTATCTTGCTTCAGGTGCTGGCCTTCAGAAATAACCTCCCAGGATGGGACTGCCTTTAATTTCTGGGCCATTAGCACAAGGAGAGCTAGCAGAAGTGGAAGAGCACTGACTTTTCCATGTAGATACTGGATTAGAAGCTGTTTCTAGAGTTACCCCAAGTCAAAATGTTCTGTGGGGTTTCTGTGTATACTTCTTAGAGGGGCTTGAAGATGAGTAAATGGGTTAATTTTAATTAAAAGTTAAATCACTGTGGCATTTGATAGTTCTATGATGACTTCTTCTAGACTTGCCCATCCTGTTACAGATTCAGTACATCCTACTCTACTCTACAGCAAGATTTGGCAGCGTTGAGACTTCAAAGGCATTTCCTTACCCTGGACCAAACAGGCCTTTGGATTCGTGGTGGCTCTCCAAGGATTGAAGCTGCTGGAGGCCACGCAGATGCTATCCCAGATGATAACATTGCCAAAGCTGCCCAGACCACTGCTCTGTGTCACTTCTCTGTGTGTGTTTGGAAATCCTGGTCTGTGAGGATTGTTCATTCATAGACCTTGGTGTCATTTAATCACTTGAAAAGAGTTTCTTCAATTCCAGGGCCTGAGCAGGCTCGTTAATGCAAATCATGCTGCATGTTCTTTTAGGGGTAGATCAGGTTCTCTATGCATATAATCTAGAATTAAAGGAAGGTAACATACCAAAAGAGTTTTTAAACTGCTGATTTGACTTTCTTTTTTTCCCCTTCACTTTCATCTGGAGTTTTCCAGTTACCTGTCACTTCCATGCCTGTTACAGAAGGTCTGTGGACAGGCCTGGGCTCAAAATCCCAACTGTCTGTGGACTGGGAAGATACATTGGCAGGACAAACCATTTGGGCTGTCCTGAAAGCTTACCCCTGGTCCTGTGTGCTTGAGACTGGCTGAGTAAAGAGCTTTTGCTAGAAGGGGTCTGCACACTTGAATCCCAGAGCTCCATCCCTTCCCAACCTTCCCTCCACCACCCCTGACCAGAGGAGGAAGAAGAGGGAGTTTTACCATGACAGCCCTGTCCAGAGCCAGCACATGAGTGGGGGACCCACAGAAGCAGCTGTCAGGGTTCAGTCTTGCACCGTGTGCTCCTTCACTGGGGGTTTGTTAAACTTCCAAATTGCCACAAAGTGCTCACACTAAAGGATTTGTACTTGCTGTGTCAGTCTAAAACCTGAAGGAAAATACATTTTTATTCTTTCTACTTGGGTGCTTTGTCTTTTTTTTTTTTCTTTGTGAAAGCCGTACAATAAAGAGATTATTTAATAACTGAGGCTTACTCCTCATATGTTCCCTCTTAAGTCTGTTCTTTCTGATCTCAAGGATTTAATCTTCTTTGCTAGTGAGCACTTGGTTTTGATGTCCACACACAGGAGATGCTGTAGGTGAAGATTTTGTTGCTGGTGTTATGATCTGTCTTAAAAAGGGGAGAGGAATAATCAACAACATTTAACCCTGCTGCAGTTTTTCCCATCCTAAAATGTTTTTCTCCAAGTCACTCAAATCTTCGCTGTCTTTTCTCACTCAGAGTCTTAAAAAAAACCTTGTCAAAGCTTTTTTAGATGGAAGGTGCTTGTTAGAACTGAATTGAGCCGAGTGCTGCAGGAACCAACAAATTGCAGTAAGTGGGAATAAAAAATCCTCATCCAGGCTGATTTGGGGCTCTGAGCACGAAGAGCTGGATGGGACAATGTGCCCTTGGCAGACGTGGGCTGTAGAAATGGGATTAAATGGGATTAACTGGGTGCTGCAGGGAGCTGTTGCCAACCAGCCCCATCTGCTGCAGCTTGTGGGTGCTGTTACAGCCCTGCAGGGTGTTAGTTTTTAACCCAGAAAAGTGCCTTTTTGAAAAAAGTTTAGTTATTGTTGCCCAGAGTGGGAAGCTGATCCATGGCTTTGCTAGGAAGTGGCTGTGTTGTGCTTGTCAAGTCCTGGGACGTGGAAGAGGATTTCCCCTGCCCCAAGGAGACCAGCACAAAATCAAAACCACCTTTTTTTTATTACTCAGAAGAAATTTCCTTGAAAGACAGTGTACAAACCCCAAGAAGCAGCAAATCACTGACCCTCCCTTTGCCCCAGGTTTGCTGATGGACTTAAAAAAAAAACTGTGTCCAGTTTGGGCTTTTCCATCACAAACTCCACGAGAGCTGAGAGGGGTGAGAGTGGCCCCTTCCATGGAAAGAACAGCTGTAGAAAATCCACAGACGTTGGTAAGTTTAAAGCTCCTGGAAAAGTCTCTCTTAAGAAAAGGGCTGATGGAAGAAGAGCTCTGGGTGTCCCTGGGAAGAGAAGGGAGAGGTCAGCTGCTGCCAAAGAAGGGAGCAGGCCTTCAAACTTGTCCCTTGGCAAACACTTAACCTTTTGCTGGTTTCAGGAGGCAAAACAAAGGCTCTTTCCCCTTTAACCACAAATAAAACCAACCTAAATAGCTGTCAGTCCTTCAACAACAGGATGTCTGCTGGGGAAAAATGTTAAAAATGGCTGTAGGCATCACTTACCTGGGGATGGGCTCAGTCGTTGCCTTCTTCTGTAAAACAAAAACACAAAGATGATGTTAATGAGATGATGTTAATGGGGCGTGGTGTAAAACTGAAAGTGCAGGTGAGTTTTCCAGGTTTCTTTTCAAAAAGAGAGAAAATGTAAAACGGGAGGAGGGAGGAGACAAAGCCCACGTGAAGGGCTGTGAAGTGGAGCCTGGCTCAGTCTGGCCCCTGCCTGTTGCTGGTTCTCTGTGCTGCTGTGAAGACCACAGCAGCTCTTCTGCTTCTCCCACTGCAGGAAGTCCTCCCAAATAAAAACAATCATAAGGTGATTTCTGGTTGGAAGAGACCTTGCAGATCATCAATCCAACCCTTCCCCAGCAGTGCCAGGTCCCCACTGCCCCGTGTCCCTCACCCCACATCTCCACAGCTTGGAAACCCCTCCAGGGGTGGGGACTCCACCACTGCCCTGGGCAGCCTGGCACAGCCCTGGGCAACCCTCCAGGGCAAGAAATTGTTCCTCAGGGACAACTGAAACCTCCCCTGGGGCAACTTGAGGCTGTTTCCTCTTGTCCTGTCCCTTGTTCCTTGGGAGCAGAGCCCGACCCCCCCCTGGCTCCAGGCTCCTGTCAGGAGCTGTGCAGAGCCAGAAGGTCTCCCCTGAGCCTCCTTTGCTCCAGGCTCAGCACCCCCAGCTCCCTCAGCTGCTCCTCCCCACACTTGGGC